GTCCGTCCGTCTGTCCGTGGTGCTGTTTCAGCGGCCAACCCGTAAGAGATAGATATAGAGAATGTTTAAGTTATAAGTTAAGAATAGTCTGATAAGACTACAAACCGGATGTGAGTAACGTAGCACTTCCGGTTTTCGAGAAATCACGTGATTTCTATTTCAAACGAAACCACACAAAATCTCCGAAGTTTTCAATTAGTTAAATACATTTTTTTTTTTTGGTGAACATTTGGTTCACTGGTTTGCTAGTAAGCTCTATAATAGTGTACAGTGAGTTTAATAAATAACTGTCAAGCGTGACATGACATTATTATAATTTCGAACCAGAACCTGTATCACATAGCAATATTAATATATTAAATGGACTGCAATTTTTAAGGTTCCGTACACAAATGGAACCTTATTGATATACCTCCGTTTGCTACCATAAGATCCTTTGGAACGGTAATAATATGGTGTTATTGTAGCCGCCATCACAAGAAAAGTAAAATAGCATTAAGAAAATACTTTTTTTATATTTCAGATTAAGTAATTCACTATAATTAAGCACTTTATTGTAAACTAGCTGTGCCCGCAGCATCGATTGCGTGGACATCAAAAAACAACAACATATCGTACATAGGTGACATGATTTTTGCCGATGAAGTGAAGTGCGCTTCTTACATTTCTATAAGCTAATTTAAATTACAAAGAAAAAGGTATACTTTTTCTTTGTAAACGATAATAATTGAGAGCCACTGGGTTCGAGCGATATCTGTAGTACAGGGGTACCAGTAGGATAAGGAAGATTAAGGTTGACAAACAAGTGCCGTAATACAGATGATGTTCTTCATGGCCATTTACACTATATAAATTCGGGCATGGGGGAATTTGCCTTCCCCCATGACATAATATACGTATCTGGCGCTTCGCCGGTCGCAATGCTAACCTAACCTAACTTGGTCTGTTTGCTAGGGGAGTATCCACTCTTCAGGTGCCTCCGACCCCAGGAAACGCTCACCCCGGAGTGATACTAGCACCCGCAATCCCCTTAATAAAATAAACGCATTCATTGACTTTAGAGTACACCCGTAGCCTAACGTTAATTCTGAAAATATTTTTTATTGAAACAGATGACGCTGAACATTTTCTTCATCACAATCTTGTTTTGATTTGATTGTTTTAAATTTGAATCATAAGCATGCATATTCCTGCATCGTCCCCGGAAGCTATAGAGGCTGCCATTAGCCTACAGTCGCCTATGGGATATGTATGCTTGAGGTTTTCACAACTGCTCTCCTGCCTGGGAGGAAAAAAAATAGCCCTACATCCTTCATTAGTGATTATACTTATTGTTTATAACATAATGCTTGTGGATTATACATTATTTAAACTCGAACTTCTTAAAGTTAGTAAGTTTTATCAAGTACGACTCATCTCTCCCTAGTAAGTATGCAAAGTAAGTACCTTCTAATAATACTTTTAAGCAGTTTTAAAGTGAATTTTAAAAATAATTGATTTGTGTGTAAAATTAATATTCTTTAATTTATAAATCAAAACAAAACTTTTCCTACGCTTTAATAAATCATACGAAATAACAAAAGAACGATGATAATAATTAATTTATAAGTCATTTTTTTTATATTTTTAGTACTATTATAATAAACCCATACGAACGAACAACGTTGTGCGTACTGGTAAAGCAAGAAACATCTTTCAAAGCATTTTAATACTTTATCTACACCCATAACTTTTTAAAACATGTATTAAAGATTTTGAAACAGTTTTTTGCTAAAATTAAAAACATCCAATGTCATAATTAAAAAAAAATCACCATTATAACACCCAAACGGGTGTTATAATGTTGTACTAAATGTCATAACAACACTCCTTCGCTTCTTAAATCCCTTCCGCGCTAAGGCCTTACTCATCAGACAGCCACAATTTTCCTTGTTCGATGCGTGGTATTATAAATTCGGCGCTGTGGTAGTGAAGCGCGCGTGAATGACAATGTTCTTTTTTTGTTTTTGTAACGTGAAAAACCGGGTAAGTGGGGTAAATAAAAATAGACTCCGATTATAACTCCATTTATTGGTTGGATCCGTTCGTTAAGGTTAAGTTAAAGTTAAGTTAAGTTAAGGTTAAATTATATTTAAGTTACATTAAGTTTAAATGAGATTAATGAAATGAAGTTGAATTAGCCGCTGGCTGGAGCCGCATGGTCACGCAAATAAAACGGTGGTTACAATTAATTAAAAAGGTAGGTAAAAAAAACAGGTCGTGGCGCATTTGGTCGATAACGCTTGGGTATCTTAAAGGTTAAAGTTAATTTTAGTGAAAAAGTAAGGGTAATCTGTAGGTCCCGGGTAGACTGCACGAAGGGTAGTCTGCGCACAGGGTGCAGCCCAAACTTATCGGGGTGAGTGGATGAGATGGGGTAAGCAGGGGCTTTGTCAGCTGCTTAGGACTGGAGAGCCCTTCTGGGGTAGCTACAGGTCATATGGGACGTTGCCTGGGTAGCAGGACGTCGGGGTAACTTAGAAGCGCCTGGGCAGCAGGACGTCGGGGTAACATAGAACCTCCTGTCGGAGGCGTTGAAGATAGCAAGTGTTACATGATTTTATGGTTTATACTTCCATTTTATTTTCGATAGTTAAAACGTGTGACAATCTTTCATGTGAGGGCAGCACATGTCCGTAAAATTTAAAACATATATTTAAATCTGTGTAAATAGGGGTTCCTTCTGTTCCGCCAAAAAAGCGGAACGTGGAACGATTCAAGAAGAAAAAGTGTAAAAAGACTTTTTCTTAAAACTTAATGGCGTTGGCATACTAGATATAAGGACGGAGCTATACTGTCGGTGCGAGATGTCTATGAACAGTGCGCTGGAGAAAAACGTGCCGGTGATGATGTAGGACGGAGGCTTTCTGTCCCTTTCTAACCGTGTAATTTATTTATAAATTTTATGCAGTTGAGCAAAAATTTAGGGCTACATGTTTGAAATTCATAATACCGCGCATCCAGCCGTTAAAATTGTGGCTGTGTGATGAACAAGCCCTTGGCGCGGAAGAGATTTAAAAAGCGAAGGAGTGTTATTATCAAATTTATAAAAAAAACAATAAAACCCAAAGGGGTGTAACAATGTTTTTTTTAATTATGACATTCGATTTTTTAATGTTGTCAACTGTTGCAGAATCTTTAATGAGGAGCTCTTTTTCACGATTATCTCTATCGAGCGTGCACCGCGGCCTAAATTTCGCCGTGTGCGTTAAAACATTTTGTCAAGAATGTTCTATTTTTTCGAGGACACTCGCGTACTTTTGTCCTGTCCGGTCCCTCAGTGTCCACGGTAGTTAGGGGGACTTTTTGTCCGCAGTATTTTTAATCCGTCGTTTGCGTTACTCGATGCTGTTGTAGGCGATCTATTACGGCGAACAAAAGTGCCTCGTCTGCGCTTTCCATTAATGAGTTGACAGAGAGAAAATTCTCAGAATCACACGAACTGTCCTCTACGACAACTCAAAATTTTAAATGAATTTTTTATGCAGATCGTTGTACCAGGATTGAAAGCAAAACGTAGAATAAGCTAGTTATTGAGTTTTCAGTGCACATTGTAAATCGTCTATACTTCCATGAAAGTTATTTTAAATCGTAACATGGATGCCTGTTTACACTAATACACTAACACTCGCCTGCAAAAATAAAGGGTGACCTAGTTAGTTAGCTTTGAAAATACACAAAGTATCACTTTCAATTAAATAGTACCTACCAAGCTGAAATAAAATTTCATGAGTAGAAAAAATAACCGCCATATATTTTTTTCGTGAAAATGATAGAAATTTCTGAATGACTTGTTTAACTATTGGCGCGCAGTCCATATCTTGTCAATTGAAGATCTCTTATGTCTCATTCACTCACTGACATCCGTATAATAACATAATATTAGGAAATAAAAAAAAACTCGATTTTTTTCAATTTCTTTTATAAAAACTTTGTCCTCACAATAACAAACACAATAATAAAAGTATTACGCAATTAAAGACCACACGACATGAGCGCAGCGCAGGGAAAGAGGTATCTGCGTACTCCTGCCCGCCTATTCCATGCAGCTCGGAGGTTCGATGATATGAGCAGGGCTCTACCCAGTTGAAACCAGACAATGCTCCTACACCGGACACCCGGCACACATTCTGAGGATCAATGTCCCCTAACTATCTCCGACTTGCCGCACTTTGGTCACTTGCATGGCAATGTTGCTTAACATTCGCAAACAGATTTTGTAATCTATTCTATTTAATAAATAGAGAAAAAGATACACTGATAGACTGACTGACTGACTCATCAACGCACAGCCGAAACGGCTGGACCTAGAATGATGAAATTTGGACAGTAGGTTCCTATTATTGCCTAGACAAGTAATAAGATGGGATTTTTTGAAATTCAGCCTCTTAAGCGTGAAATTTGCAAAAAAATGTTTGTTCGTAAAATCTTATTTCTTGGATCTATTGACTGCAAATTTTAGAAAAACATTATAAATTGGATGTACACTAACCCTGTTATATTTTTTTACAAATACCCTCAAAATTTACAAAATTTTGTGCCAAAGTTTGTATGGAAGATCATCCAAAAGTGCAAAGGATTGATTAAAATTTTGCACACCTCTGTATAGAATAAAAATGCTATTCTGCGTTTTCATTTTTCAATATAGCATGTTGAAGTTTTAAATATAGGATAAAAATATATTCAACCTATATGCCTAGAAGTAACTCTTTGCTAAACAGAAAAATTAGGATGGCCATGCCATGCAAATAGATTTAATATACTCGACCTATTTACTTAGAAACTTCTTGTTAAGTTTAAAAATCAGGGTGGCCATGCCCCTGAACAAATAGATTTTTTGTTTTTTTTTCGGCGGGAATAAAGGTTCAATTTATTTTCTCCGAATTTTCAATTAATTTTTATAGTATTAATTTTTGACTAATTTGAACTATTTTACAAGAAGAAGTTAATAGAAGACCAAAATGAGTACTGATAGTGGAGGTAGGGAGGTAAAACGTAATAAAAAGCGGAAAGCCGTTGTTCAATTATCAGACTGTTCTGATGAAGACGAAGAGGTAAAATATGCTCCTTATTTTAAAAAAAATCATATACGAAGCTACCCTGAAAATTCACCTGGCACAATATTCCCAGTTTACATACAGAGCACAAATGAAAATATAAAATTTGGTAACAAAGATCCAGTATATTTAAATAATATTTTCAGCAGGTATAATAAGGGAGTGAAAGAAATTAAAAGACTAAATGCTTTGCGGTACACTGTAATTTTTGACAATGCGAAGAATGCCAATTCGTTGTTGGCTAATTCAACTTTTCTAGCATCACACGAGATAAAAGCATTCATTCCAGCTTCTACTTCTGAATGTATTGGTGTTATCAAGTTTATCCCAACAGATCTCAGCTGCAAACACTTATTTGACAAACTTATCAGCTCACAAGAAATATTTGCAGTCCGGAGATTCACCAAGCGGACACCAGAAGGTATTGTTCCTTTGCAGACAGTCTCCATCACATTTGCAGGTAATATCCTGCCTGAACATGTGAACTATGGTCTATGTGTTGTACCTGTAGAGCAATATATTAAACCTGTTATACAATGTTACAAATGCATGGGATTTGGACATACCACTAAGTTTTGTAAGCGAAATATTGTTTGTTCTATATGCTCTGAGTCTCATTCATTTAAAGATTGTTCGAACACTGATAAACCACTATGTATTACCTGCAAGGGTGAACATGTAGCTGTGGCTAGGACTTGTCCTGTTAAACAACAGAAAATAATTGAAAATCGAAATAAAATAATGAACCGCAATACATTGGGCTCTTACTTTCCCACTTTAAACAAGTCTTTCGCCAAGGCAACAAGTTCACGACCTCAGCAAATGCAATATACATCTAATATCAGTAAAGAAAAGAATGTTTTGCCTGACGTTATAAACAACGATAAAATACTTAAAGCCATCATTGACACATTCTTAATGTTTTGTAGCAAAGACAATAGCTTACCAATTAACTCAGCTTCGATAAAAGAAATGTTTATAAAGAATATTACACATAGTCATAATGGATAGTAAGCCTTTAAAAATTATACAACACAATATTCAAAGTTTTAAACAAAAATCTATTTTTATTCGTCAGCTCTTGGATTTAGAAGATGTCGATATTTGTATTCTCAATGAAACTTGGTTAAAATATATAGCCGTTAAAATTGAATTAAGTCATTATAAATTAATAACAGTACTGAGTGTATATTGTCCTCCACGAAGCGGCCGTTTTCCTATAAATAGCTTAAAAATATAATAAATTCATTACCAATGCCTACATTAGTGATGGGAGATTTTAACGCCCATCATACCGCTTTTGGGTCTTCTACGAATAAGCCGAGAGGAATACAGATATATGACATGTTAGACGAGCTCAGTATGTGTATATTAAACAACGGTCAATCAACAACGGTTGCACGTCCCAATCAGTCAGCATCGGCTATAGATATTGCTTTCATTTCACCGGCTCTAGGAGCTTCGGCTGAATGGTCTGTCTATACTGAGGACAACTTAGGTAGCTATCATTTCCCTACAGTAGTCATGTTAAATATAGATCATGATATATATGAGGAATCAGTACCATTTGAAAAATTTGTTTATAAAAAAGCAGACTGGACTGGATACACTTATAAATCTCTAGATTTTTTTTTATCATTTATTAGATATGCTAGACCCTCTACAAGCTTATGAATCATTTTGTAAATTATTAAATAGCCTTAGAAACGAATTCATACCTGTATATAGAGCCAATAATTCAGAACAAAAACGTCATAAACCTATGCCCTGGTGGAACGAAAGTTGTTATAATGCAGTCAAAGAAGCTAAATTAGCACTTTACATGTATAGACGATTCCCATCTATGGAAAACTACATTTTATATAAAAAATTAGAAGCCGATAAAAAACGTTTAATTAAAGAACAAAAGTCACTGAGTTGGAAAACCTTTGTTCTACATTTGATAGAAACACACCTACTAGTAAAACTTGGAAGTTTATAAAGATTTTTAACCGTAAAAGTTCAACAGTGGCCTCTAAAGAGAATGAGTTCATAGAAAGGAAAAAAGAGCACCTTACCATCCTCCTATTGACACAGTTTATTTAAACAGTTTATTTTCTTTTAATGACCACAACAAACATTTGAATTTACCTTTTTCGGAAACTGAGTTTCATTTCTCTTTGAATAACAAAAAAGATACTTCTCCAGGACTCGACAACATTCCGTATGTATTAATCAAACGTCTTAGTTTACCGACAAAATTACTACTACTTAAAATATTTAATAACTTGTGGTTAACTGGCTTAATACCTGATAGTTGGAAAACAATTGCAATAGTTCCTATTTTGAAACCAGAAAAGGACCCAAAGCTGGCAGAATCATATCGCCCGATTTCCTTGTATCCATCCATCCATCATGTGTAGGGAAAATTTTCGAAAATATGATAAAAACAAGATTGGAATTATACGCTGAATCTAGATTGATAATTCCCCATGATTAGTTTGGTTTTCGAAAGGGACGAAGTACTATTGATAGCATTTCCAAATTTTGTAATGATATTAAAGAATCATTCAATAGCAATAGATATTTAGTTAGTACTTTTCTCGACGTGAGTGGCGCCTCTGATACCGTCGATTTATCAGTTTTAGTAGAAATCCTTCACAGTTTAAATATTCCCGGAAAAGTGTGTAAATGGATTTTTTATTTTTTCTATTCGCGCACAGTCTGTCAAATATGATAATAGTTTATTTGGGTCTAAGATAGCCTACAAAGGTGTAACACAAGGAGCAACTTTATCACCTCTTATATATTTATTCTATACTTCGTAAATACATAGTTTCATAAAGCTCCCCAAACTATCTATACTACAATACGCTGACGATATTGTGTTGTATACTTCTAACAGGAGTTTGTTGCAAGCAGAGTCTACTTTAAACAAAGCCTTACAAAATCTTTATCTTTATTACAAAATCAAACTTAAACTAGACGTTAATCCTTCCAAAAGTTCCGTAATGATATTTAATAAAAAAAAATGATTATTATGATTCTGTAAATATTGTGTATTGCTCTGTAAATATAGATGTTGTAGAAGTTAAAAAATTTCTTGGTATAATATTAGATACTAAGTTAAATTTTCATTTTCATGTACATAATGTTATAAATATTATTATTATTATTATTATAATAAAATGCAAAGATCTGTAAATATAATGCGTCATTTAGAAAGTGTAACATGGGGAATGGACCCAAAAATTTTAAATATTGTTTTCAAGTCTATAGTTAGAAGTCATTACGACTACGGACTAACAATCTATGGGAAATATCTTTCTTCAACATTGTATAACAAAATCGATGTAATGCAAAATAATGGATTGAGAATAATATCCGGAGCCTTCTGCTCCACATCAATAAATTCCTTGCAAATTGAATCAGGTATTCCGCCTATTTTAGTAAGAATGAGATACCTCACAGAAAAGTCACGTGTAAAAATTTTAGCAAATAAGATGTACATTAATTTATATAGTTCTAACAATTATTACCAATGTGACCATTAGAAGGGAATTACATTTTTTATGTCAACACATAGATCGAAAAGAAACATGGGAACTCAGTACAATAGACATTCAAACCACCGTTCCCCGTGTTTGCTCTCACAGAGTCAATAATAATTCTGAGTTTTTGCACTTTATTAATACTAAGAAATCAGCATATACTAACATTTACACTGATGGGTCGAAAACAGAAGAAGTAACTAAGGCAGCATACTATGATTCGGAAGCTAAATTTGGAAGATGTTTTACACTGGATAACAATTCGTCAATATTTACAGCAGAGGCCTACGCCATAAATTCCGCATTGCAATATATTCGAGGAAACAGAAATTCCCGATTTTTTTTAATTGTAACCGATTCACTAAGTGTGCTTACCTGTATGGAAAATGTTAAAATTTCCTATAAAAATAACACTTACATTACCAGAATAAGAGAAATGATATTGAAATTAGAAAAAGAAGACAAAGTAATTGAATTTATATGGGTACCTTCGCACTCAGGAATAACAGGCAATGAAATAGTTGATAAATTTATGAAAATTCAACATCCAAGCTTTATTAATTCGCAACATTACACTCCTCCAGTCCCTCTAACTGATTACGGTTCGTTATTAAAAATTCGAATGTTCGACTATTGGAATAAAGACTGGGAAGCCACCAAAGTTTTTAAAGGAAATTGGTATGCCAAAATACAAAAAATAATTCCTCGCAAACCCTGGTATTTTAAGTGGAAGTCACCGAGTAGAAAATTTATTACCACTTTAAACAGACTCAGACTTGGACATGGAAAATTTGCAGCCCATTTGAAAAGACTGAAGATGATGTCTTCAGACAAGTGTGAATATTGTGAGGTAGCTGTGGCTACATTGGATCATTTGATACTATTTTGTCCTGCTTTTAATATTCAAAGAATACTCCTTATATGGCTTAATGAAGATTTACAAACATGAAGAAATTCCCCGCCTTTTGCCATCTCTATTAGAAAACGAAGATACATATGAACACCTTTACACCTACATTACTTCTACTTTTATGAACATATGAAGAGAAACTTAGAATCAATGAAGACTGTTACTAATGTATAGGCTGTATGGACTTGTGCAATGCCGTTAAATTTCTAAATAAAAATAAAAAAAAAACAAATAGATTTCAAATATTTTCGGATGCTTATTCATTATGTTTCCATAGTATAATACACCCGTGTGAAGCCGGGACGGGCCGCTAGCAATATATATTTTACCAACGGGACCCATTGATAATAATAAATCTATGGTTATGGGTGTCATTTATTAGTTTAGATATTAATTCAGATTATATTGTTGACCAAATGGATTTTTTAATGTGAAATTAATGCAGGTATACGACTCAAGAGTCCACTTATGGGCAGTTGGGTAGTGTGTGGCCATTGAAAAGGGAGTGATTCTAGGTGTCTCAATTTTATGCCATATTCCCAGTACACAAAAGGAATTTTCACCAAAGCTAAAATAGGGTCCTAAAATTTTCTCGATTAAAAAGAGTTGTAGTCATGAAACTGCTAAAACGGCTTTGCATACCTAAACACTTTTTTAACAAGGTTTTATGTATTTTTTCCTCAATCTATCTGTAGTTAATTAAATCTTCACGGTTTCCAATACAGTTAGAATTTTACGTGCTTAAGTAAAACAGAATATAATAAGAAGAAGCTGATCTGATGATGCAGCCAGAAGGTGGTCATTGGAGCTGTGCTATAAATATTCACAACTCATCGAGCTCAGACTCATTTGATTCGTCTAGACAAGGACTTAGGATCTTAATGATATCCATCGCCAAATGAAAAACCAAAAAATTAAAAAATTGGTTTGTAGATCTCTCTCTCACTTCACCGCATAATGAGGGCTACCGTTTTTTGTCTCACCAGATGGCGCCACTGTTGAGTGAGGTCCTGAATTGTAACTTTTGATGTTTATTAATACGCGCGTGAAATCAAAGTATACATTTAAATCATATTTTAATACAAAAGAACCGTATTCTAAATATAATTGGCCATACCACAGTGTTGCGCAGCTCCGTTTTGTACGGCAAAAAGGAGGACATAATTATTTTTCTTAGCTCCGCTTTTAAATAACTGACATTCAATGCCACATAACTTATATTTGCTATAATTAAGCCGAGTTATTACTAAATATTCACAACATTATTTTAATTAGAAATAAACCCGCGTAGTCAACCCACAACCAATAACATTTGACATTTCGGAGACCTCACGCTACACAAGCGCCTCTAGCGGCGGATTCATACGCGATAGCCCTCATTAGCTATAAACCAGAAATGAGATAGGTACCTATATATTTATATGGACTATACGGTCTGAAATAAATGATTATTATTATATTTTGTGAAATAATAAAACCTTCGCTCGCAAACATAAAAATCGTGTATCCACAAAATCTAAAATGCCAAATAAACCGTTACCGTTGTTTCAAAAACGAAATAAATCCATCAT